CCGAAAAGAAGAATAGCTTTTTTGCGAAGTAGGGCTTGCGAAATTCAATGCTCTCCTCGAAATGTCCCTTCACTAGTCCTTCATCATCTTGTGCAACCTCAGCTGACTAGAATTCCTAATTAAACTTTACAGACAGACTTGAAATCCTACCTCTTCTGAGTATGTGCCATCATTACTCGAGATCGTCACGAGTGACAATGAAGGTATTAGGACAAACGTAAAACTCAAGGCTAGTCAGTCTTCTCCTGTGTCACACTTATGGTGGGCTCAAATTCCAATCGACTGTGCTACTTATATTCCCAATGAGTAGTGTCCGATGGTATCATCACTTATTTAGGCTATTTTGCATATGGCAACTGAGTGCACCGGTGAGGCAATAGTGGGAAATTGCTTGGTTTCACCTGGGCCTACTGGCGAAGAGGTTGAATACGCCGAGATGGATCCAAGGTGGGTTTGTTGCTGTCATCCTCGGTTAAAAGACCTTCACCTCGTCTCTTCAAAAAGAAAGAAATATACTCCAACATTAAAAGACCTTCCACTCTGTTTGGGCTCGAGGGGACCGGCAAGTGATGATCTGAAAGGATTGGTCTTGCCTCAGCCGTTGCCAAAGTTATTTGATCATCAGTCAGAGATGGAGTACAGAACGGAGCATCTAAAGCCTTTTTGTGGAAAACTATGAAGCGGAATGTGAATTGGAAATTTATCTACTTTGAACAGCCTCAAATGGTGTGGGGTTGAGTAGTGAAATTTGTCACTATGAAGTGGCCAGGGCAACCCAGCCCGTGCCAATTAACAATTTTTCGGTAAATTCGGCAATACTACTATTTACTGATTAAGTAGACGCTTAAACTAGCAATAGATCCTATTTCATTTAAGGTGATCAAGGACTTGTAATTGAATTTTGCCACAATCTTACGAATTGGCCTCGTGTTTCTGTCGGATTTCGCATCGAATTGCCTCCCAGAAGCTATCCTCATACAAGCTAAACGGGACTGCAATTTCGACCTCGCCTAACCTGGTCTGATCAGCAGCCGAAGCGAGACTCGAACCTGGTTTGGGGTAGTGCAGCGCATGATCTCGACATGCTAGCCACTTGGCAACGCACACTAGTGCGTCTACGAGTGCGTCTGGGTCAGGAAGAAGATGTGATTTTCCGGCAGTGACAGGCATTTTCTTCTATTAAGCTGTGCGGTGGGAGTGTCGATACAGAAAAGTTATTTTTGCAGCTGATATCGAATACAATTCTACCAGTCGTCTTTCACCTGAAACGCAAAAGGGTTGAATATATACCTCATGTATATTGTCTACTGGTAGACAGGAGATTTATTTATAAAGGAAGAAGAGCTCGAACTTGTTGCCGATTTACGCGGTCTACACGAATTCGACTGAAATTGGAGAGGCTGACGGTGTCGAGGCCAAGTCGGGACTGTCGTTTGCGTGACGATACAACGCAAGGATCAATATAAATGCCAGATATAATACCTGATTTGTAGAAATATAACATAATAATGTGGGATCAGCCAACTCAGACAATGTCGGTTTAAGTACCTATTCAAGTAGTACTAAATGTCAAAGCATAATTTAAATGAAAAAAATAGGTGGAGATGAGAAAATACACATTTGAGATGAGTACTAGTAGATCTATAGTGGGTAGGTGAGAAAAAGAGTGGAAAAGTGGATAGTAGGCAAGTATATGATGTTTGCTCGGTAGGTTAGTATGAATGTGCAAGTGGAGATGGATGAGTAGATAGATGGGTGTTTAGGCATTTTTTTGAGAGCCATGCGAGTGTGTATGTGGTTGGGAAGATAGTGAATAGATGGGAGGGTATGCGAGTAGGTTTGTGCTTGCGA